TTTTTTTTTTTGTTTGTTTGTTTGTTTTCTTGTTTTTTGAATGTCCAGAGGACCAGATTGAACTTTTTTGGATATCTATGCTTGTTGCAGAGTGCAGGCATGTAACTAAAACTCCTTCCTACCGGAAACAAAAACACTGAAATAAAGGTTCTACATCGGTTTAATATGCATTTATACTGCAGACCGTAGGTGTACACAACTTTCAGTAACATAACAAAATATAATACTGATAAAAATATATTTCAATTCCCCTTTTAACATGATAAATATCATGTCAACAAAAATCCTATATGTGATATCTGTAAAAAACTGTGTCATGGTAATTATAACTACGGTGTACACAATGGAAAAATCTAACATTCCCACCCTTTATTCTTCCTAATTCTAATGTAAACCACCAGATTATAAAACCCCAAGTGTATAAAAATAACTACCATCACTGATAAGTAACACAAAAACCAGTATCTAACATTATAGAATATACTGTAATTGTCAAAGCTTATATTCTTAAAAATGTAATAAAAATGTAATAAAAAGCAAAACGAAAACAACCATTTGTCCCTTCTATAAATCTCACGCCTCTAGTGTGTGGAATCTATATTTCTGGCATGTTTTATCCTTAGCGAACAACATGAACTAGGGACACTGCAGGAACATAGTAAAGTCAGGCATCCTCATCTTCATCCTCGTCATCTTCATAGGCACCTGTAAGGGGTAAAACTTCTGCTACCTGTATGCTCATCTGATAAGATGGTGGCTGAGGGACTCTATCATCAACTGCCCTACTTATGCACCTCAAACACAAATGTCTCACACAAGGAACAACAACATCCACAAAAAATCAACATAACTACAACTGCAAGTATTGTAATCATAGCTGTAATTATGACAGCCTCCATCTTCCAAAAGTTGATATGAACCAGTCACTGAAGGGATTCTCTAAAACTTTCAGCCAACTCCTCAGATAATGATCTCAAGCCATAAGAGCTCTTGTAAATGAACCATCTGGACTCGTGTTATTAGGAATGAATGTACAACATTCTTGTCCAAACATAGAACAAACCCCTCCTCTCTCCGCCAAGAGGAAATCAACAGCCAATCTAGTTTGATGTCTTTAAAGATGTAGCTGCAAGTTGTTGATGAGCGCCCTCTAGTGCGTCTCTTGTCAAATTGTTCAACCTCTGAATATTGAAATGAATGAAATTAATTCTTGCCACATTCTTATTCACTGTAACATACGGAATCAGAGATTCAAAGCCAGCAACAACTGGATCCACTAGTTTATATTCATCTGGGACACCTCTGGGGACGCCTACTGAATGTATATAAGCAGGCGAATCAGCATAAATATCAAATTCACGCTTCCTCCTTCTCCCCAGTTCACCAACCAAATATGTACTGCTCCTTAAAGTTTCCAAGTCCTGTACAGTCAGATTTACCATTCTAACTGGAGAAATTAGAGAAATGACTGTACATCTTCCAGACCATCTTGGTGGCATCGTATTTCTCAAAAGTCTTCCACCACAAAACCAGTAAACATCTGCACGAGCTACAGATAATCTTGTCATATTAATCCAGGCTGAAACATCCACATTTATTTTACACCAGTCTGATTCCATCTCACCTACATTCATACCTCCCTGGATTCTTCTGACCAAACAGGTGTAATCATTCTTTACAGGTGTAAAAACAGGTGGTATTGCATCTCTAGGGACCATAGGAAAATATTTCTCCAAGTTTTTACAACTGTCAGAGGGATTTTTCTTCATATGTAGTTCCAACATACAATGAAAACAAGTGTAATTAAAGCTGCAAGCAGCATTGGAGGCCCTCGCAGCAAAGCGCCGCTCCGGCCTTGCGGTTACCACGGGAGCTCCAGCTAGTCCACCCAGTCACCTTTGCGAACGCTCTCGTGCCAATCCTGCACGCGTTCACCACGGGGCGCATTTCCTGAATCTTTGACATCACCTTCCGTTCATGTTTTTATTTGTCCAGTTGCAGGTCATACAAGTATACGTGAAATCTGACCTTCCAGACAGGAGTTATGGTGACTTCCTGTTTTGTGGCAAATGTTTGACAAGCACTTCCTTTATGCTTTTCAACATGTCGTGTGGTAATCAACAGTTAGTGAACAAAGTTTCAGTCTAATATCTTATACAGTGCCAAGCTGGAAGTGTCATCCAATAATCTACAGTTTTTTCTCTGAGTACGTGGGCTTAAGTTATGTCATGAATCAACAATACTAATGTGTCTAGACGTGCTCACTGATGAAGCACCTAAACTCAGGTTCAGATCGGATGATGTATCACTGAGATATAACTGTTGGAATAATCTAGGGGGCGCGCTGGAGTCAAAGTTAAACAACAATACCAGTGTGTTTATACGTACTCACTAATTACTTACTAAAAATCTGGCCTAGATCGGATGATATTTCACCGAGATATAACTCTTGTAATAATCTAGTTGGCGCACTTGAGTCAAATGTTAAACCACAATATCAATGTGTCTAGACATGGTCACTGATTATGCACAAAAAGTCTGGTTCAGATTGGATGATGTATCACTGAGTTATAACTGTTTGAATAATCTAGGGGGTGCACTTGAGTCAAATGTTAAAGAAACAATACCAATGTGTCTAGAAATGCTCACAGGTGACGCACCAAAAATCTGTTGCGGATAGGATGATGTATCAAGATATAACTCTTGGAATAATATAGAGGGTGCACTAGAGTCATATGTTAAACCACAATATCGATGTGTCTAAAAGTCCTCACTGATGATGCACATTAAATCTGGTTCCAATCGAATGTTGTATCACTGAGCTATAACTGTTGGAATAATGTAGGTGGCGCTGTGGAGGCTATTGGCAACTTATCATGGATACCTGTTGAAGGGGTGGATAATGATCGATCATAGTGATTTTGGTGCACCTCGGCTGAAATCTGTACAATTTAGAGCCAAACGTATTGCAACGGTGTCACTTCATAATTCGTCACGCCGCCACGCCCACATCCTCAAGCAAAAACAGTTTGCGCTTTGAATCAAGTCAGACCATATTATCCCATAGGATCATCCTGATTAGGTCAATGGTGTCAAAGAGGGAGCATTCCAAGTTAAAAAAGAGACTTCCTATTCTGAGGGGGCGGGGCTTTACTGACATCAAAATATGACCACAGTGGATCATCTGGCATCCAACAGGGATGCGTCATGCCAAGTTTCGTGCATTTCGGTCTTTCAATGTGAAAGTTATAGTGTTTTGAAATTTAT